TAATTGCATTTCAATGGGAAATAATGCTTCAACATACAGTGGTGCCTCGCTTAGCGAGCGCTCAGTTTTGCGACAAAATCGCTTTGGGACGCTTTTTTTGCGATCGCAAAATGATGTTCCCTATGGGGGAATTTCCCTTTGCGATGATCGGTTCCCTGCTTCGGGAACCGAGCATCGCAAAGCGACGATTTTAAAACAGCTGATCGGCGGTTTCAAAATGGCCGTCGGGTAAACAAAATGGCCACCTGCTGTTTTCTAGGATGGATTCCTCACTCTACAGAAACCGAAAATGGCCGCGCTATGGAGGATCTTCACTGAACTGTGAGTTTTAAGCCCATAGGAATGCATTAATCAGGTTTTAATGTGTTTCTATGGGCTTTTTTATTTCGCATTGCGACATTTTCGTTCAACAGCGATTTTTGCGGAACAAATTAACGTCACAATGCGAGGCACCACTGTACGACCATTTCGAGTTACGACCATCTTCTGGAACGGATTAAGTCCGTAAGTCAAGGCGCCACTGTACTGAGGACCTATACAGAGGAGTTTCAACAACAGATTCCTTCAAACAATAATATTTTGATATGAAGAACCTGAGGCTTCAGAATCTGAATTGCAAACTGTTCTCAAACCATATGAAAAAGTGTACATATGATTCAATTCATCCAAAAATCTTTACAAATGCAAGATATTGGATGCATGTGTCCACGATTCAGAAAGCCAAGAAATTACTTTATATTGCTGTGCAATATCATGCCTGCATTGCCAGCAGGAAAAAGGATGTCAAGCTTTACATTGCAAAAGGCAGTATGAATGTATGAACGTTAGTAACACTAATTGCAAGAGTCAAGACAGTCTACAGGTTACCCTCTTGTGCTCACTACCATTTACAAAGGGCATCAATCAAGGGAAAATCCCAGAAGTTGATTCCTTTTTTCATCACTTAACTACTTCTCATGTAAACACAAAGCAATTGTCATGGATGTTTTTCAACAAGTGTGAATGGTAGTGAGCACACGAGGGTATCCTGCACATTTGAAGGAGGCCACAGATTGGAAACAATTCTTCACTTTAAGTTGTATAACATACCTTATAAGGTTTGTTATACAACTCATACAATCCTGATTTGGCCTATATTTCTTTTATACTGTGTTTGAGAATGGCTACTAGAACATATGCAGAACATATCCGAAAAGCTGGACTTCATTTAAATGAAGAGTGAGAATTAGTAGAATAAACACCAGTAATTTAAGATACACAGATGACACCATCTCATTGGCAGAAGATGACTTGAATGACTATTGGAGAAAGTAAAAAAGAAAGTGCAAAAGCAGGACTGCAGTTGAACATTAAGACAAAAATTATGAGTACAGAAGAACTACACAACTCTAGCGCTGACAATAAAGAAATAGAGAGTTTGTATTCCTTGGTTCAATCATCAACCCAAATTGAGATTGCAGCCAAGAAATCAGAAAAGGACTGAGACTAGGAAGGGCAGCAATTAAGGAATTAGAAAAGATATTCAAATGTAAGGATGTGTCACTGGGGACCAAGACCACCTACAGTCTTGTATTTCTTATCACCATGTATGGGTGTGAAAGCTGGACTGTAACAAAAGCTGACAGAAAAAAACTGACTCATTTGAAATGTGGTGCATTACAGATATCTTGAACTGCCAAAAAAATGAACAAGTGGGTCCTAGAGCAAATCAATTCTTTATTATCTCTGGAGGCAAAAATATTGAAACTCAAGCTGTCCTATTTTGGGAGCATCATGAGAAGGCAGGATTCTCTGGAAAAGACAATAATCCTGGGAAAAGAGGAAGGCAGCAGGAGAAGAGGAAGCCCACATACAAGATGGACCAACTCCCTAAAGGAAACCATAGGCTTGAGTTTGCAAGAACTGAGCACGGCAGTTTTGGAGAGAGATCACTCATTCATGGGGTCACCATGAGTTCAAGGTGACTTGACAGCAAATAATAACAGCAAAGAAAAATAGAATTTACCCTGACGCAGATCCCCAGAAAAATTCTGGAGCAGATAATACAGTGGTCAATCTTTAAGCACCTTGAAAACAATGCAGTGATCACTAGAAGCCAACATGGATTTGTCAGCAATAAATCTTGTCAGACTAATCTTATCTCATTTTTTGATTGGGTAGCTTCTCTGGAAAACAGTGGAAATGATGTGAATGAAATATATCTTGATTTCAGCAAAGCTTTTGACAAAGCACTCCCTGATAGTCTGATTGACTGATGGGCTATCCAACTGAAGGCTTAATATTGTTGTCAGATGGAACCACAGTTATGACAGAATCATACTCATGAAATGCTTACTGATGGCTAATTCCCAAACTGCGAGAAGGTAACAAGTGCGGTACCACAGGGTTCAGTCCTGAGTTCAGGGCACTTTAATAATTTATTAACAACTTGGATGAGGAAGTGCAGGGAATGGTTTTCAAATTTGCAGACAATTCAAAATTGGATGGAAACTTTTTTTATTCATATAAGAAGTTAAAGAAATCTTGATAGTCTCGAGCAATGGACTGAAAAGAACAGAATGATATTTAACAGGAATAAGTGCAAAGTTCTAGGGAATAAAAACAGATCAATAGTAATGTAATACTACATGTGAGAAGGATCTTAGAATTGTTGTAGATTAATAAATGCGAAGTTCCACATGCATGAAAAAGAAACCAAATGCATATATACAAGGGGAGGGATGCTTGGCTCAGCAGTACTACATGTAAGAAGGATCTTGAAAAATTTGCAGATCACATGCTCAATATGAGTCAACAGTGTGATACGGCTGCAAAAAAGGTAAATGCTTTTATATGAAACATTTTAAAAAGCATAGTTCTGAGATGAGAGGCGAGGGGGTTGAAGCCCTCGCTGGAGTGTTGTCCTCCTCTAAGAGAGAACAAGAAGTGCAGACAGACCCACCAGCCCCTCGCGTCATGACAGCCCAGCAGGGAGTAGACACCCGGGACCTAGAACGGGGGATGGAAAAGATATCTATATCCACCCAAACTGGGACTGAAAAGGTGGGAACGGAGGAAAGAGGACTACTCTTAGTAGAGGCAGGAAGTGGGAATATAAAAGGGAGGAGAGACGATATACCGGAGGGTTGGGAGTGAATATGGGTACAGGATCCCTGGACAGGGAAGTGTGAAAAAGTCCGAGTGCCTCGGGAAGAGGCGGATTACAGGTGGAGGAGAGGTCTACCTCCTCGTCCCTCATACTGGGGGGAATCAGAGGCCAGGGAATGGTGTAGAAGACTGAGAGATGAGAAAGAAGCTGTGGAGAGGGAAGAAAGAGAGAGAAGGGCATGACGTCTGGAGGAGGCTCGCTGGAGGAGGTATTCACCAGACTCTGGGTACCCTTCAAAGAGGAAGACAACCCCTTCGGGCTGGGAGAGATGAGGAGACCGTTCCTTTGATAGACCCTGGTTTGGACTCACCTGATTTAGAGGACACTAACCCTTTTACTAAGGGTCCTTGGAATGAATCTATGTTCAGTCCATTTTTACAAGATGTTTGGATGCCCTCACTAGACCCGTTGGCGGTGAGAGATAAAGCCGTTGGAGATTATAAAGTGGGAGAAGCTTTGTTTGATGTTCCAATAAACCCTAGTTTTGATTTTCGAAAGACTGGACGTGTTGCATTTGTTTCCGACAATAAAGAGGCCCTTTTGAACCCTTACAATAGTCTCCAAATCACATAATGTACTAGTTCCCCTCTATTCAGTACTGGTTAGGTTTCATCTTGACTACTGGGTCCAGTTCCAGACACTGCACTTTGAGAAGGACCCATACAAAGTGAAACAGTTTCAGAGGAGGTCAATAAGGATGATCAGGGAACTAAAAACCAAGCCCTATGAGGAAGAACTGGATGATCTGGGCATGTTTAGCATTGAGAAAAGACAAAGTGAGATAATAGCACCTTTCAAACTCAAAGACAGGAGGGCCTGGCGTGCTCTGGTCCATGGGGGTCACAAAAAGTCAGACACAACTTAACAACAACAACAACAACAATATAGAGGGGCAGGATCTCTCCTCAATCATTTTAGCATGCAAGATACTGCCACTGTGTTTCATAACAACATAATCGGGATAAAAATCTAGGGGAGCTGTTCATCCTATAAACCTGTAGGAATGAAGATAACTGGCAGCATAGCAAAGCTTGTCCTGCTGAGTATAACTGCAGGCATCTCAGAACAGAATTATAAGGCGTCACTAGTGAAAAACACCACAGTTTAGAACCACCCATGATGGTATCTCACACATGATCTACGAAGCTCCTGCATGGGACTGGATTCAGATTTAGAAAATATGCAAATACTCTTGCACATAATTCTTATGTATCTACTTCTAATTCCCTATTCTACCCTCAGTTTTGAAACACAGTCAGATTTAGTTTACTATTTTCCTCAGGACAGGCAGTTAACTTTTGTTACTGATGTTATATTATGCCATACACTCTAAAGATGTAATGAATCAAGCAATAGTTATCTCTCAACAGAGCAGTAACTAACCTAAATATTAGAAATGGCAAAGAATGATCAAGCCGTATTTTGTTTATCAAGTATGGTTTATGAAAAGGGGATATACATAATAGTATAGTCATTCTGTACATGAAAAATTTGGAAAGCAAACTAGCAACATTTCCAGGATTTTATGGACAATGTCATGCTGATAACCACTGAAGCAGGTTATTTCCATGAGCTGATATCCCTCAGCAGACTAAACACTGCAACTGCTGTCACAATATAGCACTTTCCCTTTGGTCTAACGCATGAAATACTACGTTCTACAAGCCAGACTCTGCCAAAATCAATGCACAATGGTGCCAGTAAAATGAAAGGGACCACACATATACCAATGTCTACAAGACTGGGACTCACACAGCTGTAGTGTAGAGCTGTGAATGTGGAACACATTGCTGATTTGCATTTTAGCTAGCTCACTAAACTATTCCACCTAAATAACAATTTAACAACTTACTTTTATTGCCAACCAAGGCCACATGTGGCTCAGTTTCTGACTCTTCATTGACCTTCTTTACAACATTATACCAATCTTCTAAATTTTCAAAGCTCTGTTGGTTAGTGATATCATATACCAGAAGAACAGCCTGAAGAGAACAGACATAAGCATAATATTTTGAAAAGCACAGATGGGTTTAAATTATCAAGATGATTTCTTCTATAAATATAATGATTGTTGTACAAACTTAATGGTTACACAAGGCTGATGAACATGGAATCCTCAGCATGCAGGCCCTAGACATGAGAAATGGGACTGCAGGATAAAATGTCAGGCTCATATAAATCCCCCAAACATATTTCTAAAAAATAAACTATCATTTAAAATCCACTGTACTACAAATGTAAGAGAATTGTGCACTAGGAGGGTTCACATGGGATTTTTCAGTTGAAGTCATAACACATGCATGTAACTAGTGGACCAGTTTGCCAACTGGTCAAATCTTCATCAGCTGTTTGCATATTAATTTATTAGATAGAAACAGAAAAACTGTATTGAGACTGCACAAAGACGAATAGTCTTTGCACATAATATGGAACTAAATTGCAACTAGTGCTGTGATATTTGCATTAGCAGAATAATAGTACTAGATGCTGGCCATTGCCTGAAAACATAGAAAATTTTTACCAAAAGGGGCATTTTGTATTCCTAATACTAACTGAAATTCCATTGCACCAAAGTATTACAAATCTCCCACCACACTGCAACTACCATAATCTTGTAATGAGTCTTGACTGAAAATCACTTGCTTGAGAGATCAGGATACAGTCAAAGAAGCAAGGAAGAAACAGACAGTAGTGTATTAATACTAGCAACAGAATGAATCTGTTGCAGATAAAACAGATATTTGGAGATGCCAATCAATATAAGACTAATAGGAATGTATGCTATACTCATTCTTCATTTCATTTTCTGTCAAGTAAAGAAAATAACAATGTAAATCTTACACTCAGTCAAGAACATATATATGCACAATGCTATCAACAATTTTGCTTGACAGAATAATAATAGTGTGGTGGCTATGACTGAAACAACAAGTTCAGAATTTGCCTCTTATTAATTCACTAGCTGAACTTATTAATTTACTTGGTAAGTTTAGACAGGTCACAGTCTGTTAAATTCAGTCTCTCATTTCCAACAAGGGAATAGTTACAATTATTCTTCTAAGGCTGTTCTAGTGATTACTGAACACTTTATCAGGAGCTGAGAATGCTTAATAAGCTAACAATGTATTCATATATTTAATTAGAAACAAAACATCATCGAAATCAATGTGAGCTAATTTTAGAAATGTTTTTACCTCTGGCTACACAAAAAACACTGGTATCTAACCGTCTTCGTAAACATCTGATTACATAGAGGAAACTTCCCAGCTTATTGTGAGTTTTAATTTTATTTTACAGTTGTTCGTTGCTTTACATATGAGAACAAGATTTGGCTCCCCACATGCTGACTCAGTTTGAATAAATGTGTTAAACATCTGTTAACTACATTTTATAAAATGACTAGCTTTAAAATTTAACAAGCTGGTACATTTTCCCGCTACTAAAGTAAAATGTACAAGAATGAACTAGGCCTCAAGCATCCTTCTTAATCCTGGAATAAAGCAGCAAACAAAAATAGATTCATTAGTATTTAATAGTTTATATCACATATGTATAACTCAAATACTGTCTTCCTAAAATTATATCTGTCTGTTTTTTGCTATTCACTTCCAAAACAACAAGAAAAAGAATGCCTTAACTATAAAATGTGCCTACTTGTAAAGCACAATTAATTTTCACTATTCTGCAAAAATACTGAGCTGCCTACTTACCTTCTTTTGTTTGCCCCCCTAGAACCTCAGCTGGCTGAATGTATTTAATGGCATAGGATTGCTCTTAATTTCCTCTTTCTACCTTTGCTCCCCAGGAAGCATCTGCACTCAAAACAGCCAGTATGCCTATTTAGATATCCATGGGGATATCTAAATAACCTTAACAAAAACTGCTGTTTTCATCTTAAGCCACAATGTAGGACCATGAACATCTGTTTTGGAAAGCTGTTAGGAATACACAAACTAGCACCTTTCATTCAATAAAAGGAAATACTTTTTAAGCAATCCTGGACTGAAATATTCTGTCCACAGAACTAACATTCAAAACAGTTTCACTTAAGGAGATGTTTACTTTTTTACTACTCTCTTAAAATCATGCTGTAAGCTATCATTTTTGCAATAAAGTTTTTAGGAAAAACAATGACATATACTAATTAACAGCCATTTCTTTAGCCATACCTGTGCACCATAGACATATTTATCCAGCATCTTGCCTCCTATTGTTTGGCCTCCAATATCCCATACTTGAACAGTAACATTTACATTTCCTGCAAGAAGGGAAAAAATCTTAAACCTGGTATATTTCACATTGCTCGATTACAGAAACAGGGAATAATCTTCACAACAGAACATTAAAGCAGCACAGCATACATTCTACTTATGTCAAATGTGCTGTTTATTATGTATTTTATTTGTCTTGTAAAAAGTGACAGAAAGCTGAGTAGCCTTTATTGCTGCCCAAAGCAAAATGCTACCCTGCACACTTGACTAGAACCCAAAGAAACACAGATTTTGTTAGACATATTTAAAAGGTTTTAACACTGTATTTCTCAAACAGCAGCTCCCTGTGTCATATTGGTAAAATATTCCATTAAAATGACAGCATTTCCAAGGGTGCAAATTTTAACAATTGATTTTGAAGGCTTTTTCTTTATCTCTTTATTAAGATACTAGCACTGTAATTTCTACCCTATCAGTTATTTCACCATCCATCAACACAAAGTCACTGTACACTATGTAAAACAAAATAAACTATATTAAAATATTAAATAATATCAAATAACTTTTTAAAAGTAACAGTAAAATACAGCATGAAACATTTTTTTCTGGTAGAGAAAAAGCAATTAACCAGAAGTGTAAACTGACATGTCTGTACTCAGAAGTAAGCCCCTCCAGGTTAAGCCTCGCTAACTTCTAGGGAAGTACAATAAAGGGCAGTAGCCTTAGCAACTCATATTATACAGTGCTTGCAGTCTTAAAAGACAAGGTGTTCATTTAAATAAAAGTTTATATACGCCAGAGAAAAGATAATAAAGACAGGACCAACAGAATAGCCTCTTCAGTGAGACTATTCTTCAATGAGGCTACCAAAATCAACAAATCTTCTCCTGAGAAGCTATATACCTTTACTTGACTAATGTTTTCAGACAAGGAAATCTAAAGTGGTTATGTACCAAAAAAAGCCAACATGGGTATATAAAAGAAGAATATAATATTTAAGTGAAGCTGTTTATGTATTAAAATTTAAACCAAACATTTAAAAATTGAAAGCTGAAATAAACTGGGAGCCTCTACAATTTTATGGTTTTTTTCCCAAAGGCACTGAGCCCCTCCTTTGTTGGAGGTACAGCAACAATACATAATTGTTACTAACAATTAAAAAACTTTATCACAAATTACATCAGCCTAGAAAATAACAGTATAATGTGATGCTAAGTAAACTGTTAAGAAATAAAGATTCATCTTGCATAACCTCTGGCTGGAATGTGTAAAAATCAGAGTAAGGAAAAGACAGTAGAGATACAAATAGAGACTTAGTCATGGTTTCTTATATGCATATATATTTAATCCATATTTACAAACATTTACTGTGGATTTTTCAAAGGATTTCTACTTCCCACCCTGACATAATTTCCAATTTGCTCTGGACACGTTCAAGAAACAAAATTAAAGCCCTAAATAAGCACTTCTTCAGATCCCCATCTATAAGCAGAACAAACATGAAGTTTGTCCAAATTACTTTGTGACCAAATTCTATATTTGGCAATATGAAAATATATTCACCTGGAATATTTTCTATTTCCCACAGTCCAGTGGAGAAAATACTTCTCTTTTTAATAATGCAGACTCAAATCCAAAGAATAGATAGACATGAATGGTGTGTGAAGCTAACATGAATTTAATTTTTTCCAACAGTACTTAAGAAACACACTGATTATAAAATTGCTAAGCAGCCTTTCTGTTTGGAAAACAATACCTACAGCAAAAAGTAAAAATGTAGCGTAGAGCATATTATTTTTTCTGCACATGCATAAATCAATCTGTGGATCCTGGGCTATGAACTGATTATATATCTAGTAAAGCATTCAAAATAATCAAAAGTAGCATTATTTGCAAGAAAAATGGATTTTGCTTTTAAATAATCAGCTTATTTGGTTTTCTTGATATGCTAGTATTGCTCAGTTCTCTAAAACATACTTGCACTGAGTAATTTAATTCAGTATATTACAGATAGCAAGCAAGCAAAATATTTCTTTACCAAATATCATGAAAGCAAAACCTCTTCAACCTGATATACAATTTCTCATGCATAAACAACTCTGCTCTAAAATAAGAGATTTTGAAAAAATCTAATTTTGCATAATTTCAAATGATTTTAATTCAACGTTTGTAACAGTAAAATACTGGCACGATGCAGGAAAAAAATTAAATATTGCCTAGACCTATTGGTTTCAATGAGAGTTAAATACATACACTAAGATCAATGTGTCAGGGTCCAGGTTGTGCATGGTTGCCTTCAACAGCGGGAGCAAGTGCACCAGGACCAGAAAACAGAACAGAGGGCCTAGCCCAAACTCACAAAGAGACCAACTAGCCAGGATAGCTATCTTTAAGAGTCCTACCTAACTGAGCTATTGTGAGTTCATGTTGTTGTTGTTTAGTCATTAAGTCATGTCCTACTCTTCATGACCCCATGGACCAGAGCATGCCAGGTCCTCCTGTCTTCCACTACCTCTCAGAGTTTGGTCAAATTCATGTTGGTAGCTTCAATGACACTGTCCAACCATCTCGTCCTCTGTCGGCCCCTTCTCTTGCCCTCACACTTTCCCAGCATCAGGGTCTTTTCCAGGGAGTGAGTTCTAAGGAATCACAAAGCACTTGTGTCTGTACCTGCAAAGTGCTGGTTAAAAGTAAAGTGTTCTTTTAAGGTCAGACTTGTTCAAGGGGCTTACACTATGCAATGCTGAGGTCTTGGGACTTCCCCAGCTTAGGGAGACCTGTGCACGACATGGTGGCAGCTGCAAGACATACAATCCAAGCTGCTGAGACCATTCTGTTAGAATCAGTTTTGCATATTCAAAGATATACAGAACAAAGTGGCTTTTCCCTAAGTTGTTATTTTGCTAAGGCAGAATAAACAGTAACAAGGAGCAATTCCACAAGTATTCTGTGAGCTGTTAGATTTGCTTAGGCAAGACGACAGTGTTCTGGGTGCTGTTAGTTTTGCTTAGGCAAAATGACAGGCAGATGTCACGGAAAGCCTTCACAAGACTTTCGACTACAAGAAGTAGTGGAGGTTAACGTTGCAGAAGCTGGAGCTGTGGCTACCGACGAATCCAGCAGCTGAGACCCAGTGCAACGGACAAACCCAGCAGCAGTGGTGCCGGCTGAAGTTGTGGCTTCAAAAGGAGCCAGGGGCGGTGAACCGGCGCTGTAGGTCAGGCCAGAGACAAGGAAGCAGTCCGGAGAGATGGCGGTCCGCATCCGGGAGCTCGGTGACCAAGCGCCATGTGCAACAAGAGTAAGGGCAGCTCAGGAGATCAGGAGACCCTTTACTCGCCCTGAAGATGTACCCAGCCTAAGAGCAGGGGAAACTTCAACTCAGCCTTTGTCTAAAGTGGATGTGATCATTTGATTCCTGATGGAATCCTTAGCAATGCAGAGAGGCATATGGAACACCCTAGAAAAGATGCAGCACCAGAACCAGAGAGGGTTTGCTGTTTCTGAACAACAGTCAGGTAACCAGCCAGGAGAGGCAGCACCCCTAGCACCAGATGACACAATTCGGGGCCAACAAGACTTCAGGGACTGTAGCGTTCAGCCCTGCCCTCACCTGTCCGTCACATCTGAGCAGTGGAAAAGCAGCCAATGAGTGAACGGAAGGTGGTGCTAAAGGGGGAGGGACTTGTATATAAAGGGGGGTGTATGGAGTATGAGAGGGGAGTCAGGGAGACTGTGAGATCGAGTGAGCCAGTGAGTCAGTGAGAGTAGGGTTCTGTGTATTAATGAGTTCAGTGAGTGAGAGAGATTGGTTAGCAACTTGTGATTTACCTATTACTTATTATTAATCAAATAAACAAGTTTAAGTTTTAAAGAAACACATGTCTCAGTGTTTAATTGGTATTGAATCCGCAATACCTGGTGGCAGCAACTTGGTGAGAAGAAGAGTGAGCACCTCCTGGAGGCCTGAGAGAATACGGGCTCCAGCATGCCCGCAACATAAACTGGTGTCCAGCATGTGGGATACGAATTGAACCAGTAAAGCCTTAGAACAGAAAGGTGCCCAGAGCATAAAAAGATCTTTAGCCAGGGAATTTGAGCTGAAAGGAGTGGGTAAACTTCCTAGAGCTTTCTCAAGGGGAGAAATCTTAGTGGGAAGGCTTCTAGGCTCAAATTGGGGGCTGAGATAGGGACAGGCTCTGAGGAAACCATTTCTGGAGGGAGTTTACCTCAAGCAGAAACTGGCACCAGTTGGCTAGCTTGTCCTGAGCTCAAAGGATAAAGTTCTGAGGGGACTAAGCGGAAACCAAGGGCAGAGAAGCTGAGGTGACTCAAATCAGCTAAAACTGGGAAAAGTTACAGCTGACATTTCTGGTTATTTGGTGCCTGAGGCAGGGAGAGAAACTTTGGTGAAAGGCCTGGCTGGAAGCCAGAGGCCTAAACACAGTAGCTTACCAGTGGATGAGTGCTGGGGAAGCAAATTTATAACACAGACTCTCTCACTGAAAGGAAAAAAGTGTACTTTTTAAATTTGGGGCTTGAAAATTGGATAAGCCTAAATAAATAAACATGCCTTCCACACAGGGAAAGAAGGCTGAAAAAGTGCCTACTGAGATGGCAGTTGGCTCAGATCAAGAAAATGTAGAATCTGAGGAAGAAATCACCTCAGAGAAAGAGATGGAGACCTCAAGGGGGAAGGACTCTATAGAATTCAGAAAATGGAAGTTGGAGCAAGCACAAGCACAGGAATTCAGGTTGAAACAAATGGAGCCGGAAAATAAGGCCAGATCTGAAGAAAGACAGCTAGAAATTAAGGCTAAATCTGAGGAAAGACAGAGAGAAATGGATTTAGAACTAGAAAAGGAGAGAATGGCATTTGAAATTAGGAGGCTAGAGCTGGCAGCTCAAGCTAATAATAACAACAATGATGGCCGATCTAATTCTGAGGAGAGACATCTGTCCAAGGCAGACCTTAAAAGATTCCCAGTATTTAGGAAGAGTGATGACCCTGAATCTTTTATGATTATGTTTGAGCGCTCGTGTGAGG